GGGAGGCGGAGCTTGCAGTGAGTGGAGATCGCGCCACTATACTCCAGCCTGGGCGACAGAGCGAGACTCCGTCTCAAAAAAAAAAAAAATCAGCCTGGTATAGTGGCGGGCACCTGTAATCTCAGCTACTTGGGAGGCTGAGGCAGGAGAATCACTTGAACCTGGGAGGCAGAGGTTGCAGTGAGCAAGATCATGCCACTGCACTCCGGCCTGGGCAACAGAGTGAGACTCTGTCTCAAAACAAAAAATAAATAAAACAATAATTTTTTTTTAAAAAGTAATTAAAAAAAAAAAAACTCTACTTTAACTCTTCCCTCTCCCTACTGCACAGCAACACAGGAGCAACATCTACACCACAGGTTGAAAACTAAAGAATATATTAAGAGGCTGTGCACAGTGGCTCATGCCTGTAATCTCAGCACTTTGGGAGGCCACCAAGGCGGGCAGATCACGAGGTCAGGAGATCGAGACCATCCTGGTTAACACGGTGAAACCCCATCCCTACTAAAAATACCAAAAATTAACCAGGCATGGTGGTGGGCGCCTGTAGTCCTAGCTACTCGGGTGGCTGAGGCAGGAGAATGGCGTGAACCCAGGAGACGGTACTTGCAGTGAGAGGAGATCGCGCCACTGCACTCCAGCCTAGGCGACAGACAAACGAGACTCCGTCTCAAAAAATAAAAAATAAAATAAAAAATAAAATAATATATTAGAAACACTTGAAAAAGTATAAAACTCTCTAAAAATATACTATCATCTGCAAAAAATTGTATCTACACTCCCACATAATTCAAAAATAGACTTCAAAATGTGCATATGTATAGTGACTGACAGTTACTAAATGTATTCATTTTTTAACCACACGTTACTGACATTTATTATGAACCAAGCACTGTGCCACATCTTGGGGACACATAAGTGATCGATACAGGCAGAGTCCTTGCCCTCATGAAATTTAAAATCTTTGAGGTAGACAAAGTAAATTTTATTCCTCTAAATTATAAAGTAAAAACTGAGACTTAAAGACACAGGTGTGATTTTCCTATAGACAAGGTTTATGTAGCAAAAAATGAGACAACACAAGACATGCTTTCTAATTCTTCAAACAGTTCCCTGTCTAGTACATCACAACTGTTTCTCAAGATCTCAAGAGATACGACAATTAAGGATAGCATCTTAAAGCATTCTGAGATTTCTAAGAACGTAATGGGTCCACATTTTTATTGCTATTGTAAAAAACAAAGGTCTAACATAAAAATCAGAAAGTTCTTACCTCATGACCTTTACCTTTGAATTTTGCCTTATCAAATACATGCCTTAAGGCTGGAAGTCCTCTCTCTGAAATTAATCTGTGAATAAAAATATGTTTTTAATTTCAAGTTTCTTTTTCTTTTTTTTTTTTTTTTGAGAGGGAATCTTGCTGTGTCACCCAGGCTGAAGCACAGCAGCATGATCTCGGGTCACTACAAGCTCGGCCTCCCCTGGGTTCACATCATTCTCCTGCCTCAGCCTCCCAAGTAGCTGGGACTACAGGCACCCACCACGGCACCCAGCTAATTTTTTTATTTTTAGTGGAGACAGGGTTTCACCATGTTAGCTAGGATGGTCTCGATCTCCTGACCTCGTGATCCGCCCGCCTCGGCCTCCCAAAGTGCTGGGATTACAGGCGTGAGCCACCACGCCTGGCCTAATTTCCAAGTTTTCTTGAGTTTGGTCCAAAGCAAGACCGTAAGAAAAAATGTTCTGCTGAACTAAAAAAACTTTTTAAGAAATATAAGAGCTCTACATCATACCAACCAAAAGTTTATAACATTAGAAGAAAAACAGTGGATGTTAAAAATAAAAAGTATAAATATATACGAATATAGTAAATGTACCTCTGAGCATCCAGCTTGGGTATATTTCTTTTAACTGTTCTCTTTGGAGGTACAGGAACAAGTGCTCCACTTCCTGACTCTGGTGAAACATACCAAGATTCAGTATTACTGTATTTAAATAATTTGTATTATTTATTTTGTATCATTTCCAAGCTGATAAGATAACTAAACATAGGACATCTTGTTTTGAAACAGGGTCTCACTCTGTTGCCCACGCTGGAGTGCAGTGGTGAGATCTTGGCTCACTGCAGCCTCAAACTCCTGGGCTCAAGCGATTCTCCTGCCTTAGCATCCTGAGTATCTGAAACTACAGGCGTGGCCTACCACACGCGGGTAATTTTCAAATCTTTAGTAGAGACGAGGTCTTGCTATGTTGCCCAGGCTGGTCTTGAAATCCTGGGCTCAAGCCATCCTCCTGCCTTGGCCTCCCAAAGTGCTGAAATTACAGGCAGGACCCAGTGTGCCCAGCCTCCTTTTTTTTTCTTTTTTCTCCTCAAATACCTTTTACCACAGCCTCCTTTTACCACAGCCACCACGCCCCAGCTAATTTTTGTATTTTTAGTAGAGACGGGGTTTCACCATGTTAGCCAGGCTGGTCTCAAATTCCTGACCTTTTGATCCACCCGCCTCGGCCTCCCAAAGTGCTGAAATTACAGGCATGAGCCACTGTGCCCGGCCTCACAGCCTCCTTTTTAAAACTCTCTATACATACCTTCATCAGGCTCAATTCCTTCACCGTCTTGTCTCTCTGGAGAGGCTGGAGGTGGGAAAGGAGGAAAAGTTTCATCTTCTACATGCTCATAATCTGGTAGGTCAATCATGCCATTCTCCTGTGGTTCTAGCATCTTTTCCTCTAAGGGAAAAAATGTAAAGTTATTTGTATTCATCCAAATAGTCTCCACTATATAGACAAGTTCTACCTGCAGCCATTTCATGTCTTTCAATCAGTTAGACCACATTTCAAACTTACACATCATGAAAAGTAGAGAAGATACTAATTATGAAAAAAAGGACTAGCCTAGAAATCAGAACTAAGTTCCAAGGTAGACCCTAACACTAAATATCTATATCATTTTGAACAAATCGTTGTACCTCAACTATTGAGCTTCCCCTACCATAAAAAGATAAATTTTGGGCCAGGCGCGGTGGTTCATGCCTATAATCCCTTTGGGAGGCTGAGGCGGGCGGATTACCCGAGGTCGGGAGTTTGAGACCAGCCTGACCAACATGGAGAAACCCATCTCTACTAAAAATACAAAATTAGCCGGGCATGGTGGCACATGCCTGTAATCCCAGCTACTTGGGAGGCTGAGGCAGGAGAATCGCTTCAATCTGGGGGGCAGAGGTTGCGGTGAGCCGAGATCGTGCCATTGCACTCCAGCTTGGGCAACAAGAGCGAAACTCCATCTCAGAAAAAAAGAAAAAAGATAAATTTGACTTTTCAGAGGGTTTCAAACTGTGATCCAATAGGGTATGAAATATGCAGGATATAGGTACTTCACCCCCACTTCAAGTAGAGCAGCTTTAAAAAAAAAAAATCTGCCGGGCGCGGTGGCTCACGCCTGTAATTCCAGCACTTTGGGAAGCTAAGGCAGGTGGATCACAAGGTCAGGGGATCAAGACCATCCTGTGAATGGTGAAATCCCGTTTCTACTAAAAATACAAAAAATTAGCCGGGCTTGGTGGCGGGCGCCTGTCATCCCAGCTACTCAGGAGGCTGAGGCGGGAGAATGGCGTGAACCTGGGAGGCGGAGGTTGCAGTGAGCCAAGATGATGCCACTGCACTCCAGCCTGGGCCACAGAGCAAGACTCCATCTTAAAACAATAAAATAAAATAAAATAAAAAATAAAAAAATCTCTTTATATACACCTACTATGTGCCCACAAAAATTAAAAGTAAAAAAAAATTTTTTTAATGTGTTTACATATTGGTGTTCTAGGTAAGGCTTCCTTTAAAGAATGGGAAATTATCCTCGGGTTGATAACTCGAAAGAATGTTTTTCAGTACTGCCTTACTTAACTTCTCAGTAACAACTGACACTTTCGGTCAGTTTTTTCTGGGAAAAATGTTTACCTTAACTTTTAAGACACAGTATTCACCTGGCTTTCCTCCCTTTCTGGGAACTCCTCCTGGATTTTCCTTGCAGATTTATCTTCTAACCTGGCCATTAAGTATCCAAGACTCAATCCTAGGGCTTCTTCATTCATTTATGCATAGTTTTAATAAGAACTTATTTATTGATGACTCCCTGATTTTCATCTTTACCCTAGGCCTTGACTCTCCGATCCAGATCACTATTTCCCATTTTACACCTCCTAAATGCCTGAAAGGCACCTGTAATTCAACATGTACAAAACCAAACTTCTAAATTTTCCTAATTCAGTGAATGACATCTATCCAGCTAAGCAATTCAGAAACCTACAAGTCATCTTTAGCAATTCCTTCCCTCTATCCCACAGATCCTGCCCATTTTATTTCCTAAATATCCCTTGAATCTATTTCTCCTTATCTCTATAACCACTTCCCAACATTTCTTGCTTGCATTACTCCACTACTCTCATCCATTCTTGCCTTCTTCAATTGTCCGTATTACATCTAGACTGAATCTGAAAATGTAAAGCTGATCACCTCACTTGGCTTAAGTATTTCAATGGTTTCTGATTGCTCTTAAGATAAAGACAAAACTCCAAGGCCCTATGTGATCTGGCCTCTTACAACCTCACCAACCTCACTTCACACTACTCTATGCTTTTTCTTTCCCTGAAAGAGCTATATTCCTCAGGCCACTAGATCTTTACAAATACTATTTCCTGTCTTGAAAAAGCTATACCTTGACTCCTAATCTCTTTCAGATATCAACTATCACCTTTTCAAAAGTTTACCTCAATTTCTCTAAATCCTTCTTTAGTAAGCATTCATAGTGTCAAGTACAAATATCATGGCACTTATCCAGTTTCAATATCAGGTTTTATTTATACAGTTATTTATTGTTCGTCTCCCAAACTAGACTGTAGCTCAAAAAGGGCAACCAGGTAGGTCTCTCTGTGCTACACAGCTCGAACCCCAGTGCTGGTACACAGCAGGTGCAGGTGCTCAATATATATTTGATGAATGATGGAATGCAAAAAAATAATTCCAAAGTTTCCCCAAATTGGAGTTAGATGATCTTTAAAATCTCACTAATTCTAAATTTCGATTACCATAAATATAACAGCAAAGCATCAGCTGGGCGCGGTGGCTCATGCCTGTAATCCCAGCACTATGGGAGGTCGAGGCGGATGGATCATGAGGTCAGGAGTTCAAGACCAGCCTGGCCAACACAGTGAAACCCCGTCTCTACTAAAAATACAAAAAAAATTAGCCAAGTGTGGTGGCGGGCGCCTGTAGTCCCAGCTACTCCGGAGGCTGAGGAAGGAGAATCGTTTGAACCCAGGAGGCGGAGCTTGCAGTGAGCCAAGACCGCGCTATCGCACTTCAGCCTGGGCGACAGAGCCAGGCTCCGTTTCAAAAAAAAAAAAGCAAAGCATCAATTCCCGATCATGACCCACGGTAGCTTCAAGTAAGCTACAAGAATCTATACTAGGGTTCAGAACTTTGAGGCTGACAGCCAGCTTTGAGTTTGATGACAGTACCTAAAATATATTAAGTGCACTCAAGAACTGGCCAAGCACGGGGTGGGGATTGTCAGGAAACTGATATTTCTTCTATTTGTAGTGAACAAGACGCTCAACAGACGACTTTTACTCTGCGTCAGTGGTCGCATAACTGTCTCTTTTTAGACATTTATGAAATTGTGTGAACTTCCTCCTCTACTCCTCAAACTCCCAGAAGAGTTAAGGTAACAAATGTTATGTCCAAACCACGGTTTGTTCCCAGACCCTGGTTTCCAATGCCCACCTCTTTTCCAAGAAGGCCAAAGAGATGGCCCTCATCGCAAAGGAAGTGCTACCGTGCTGCCTCGATGTCCCCCTTGGGTGCCACCCCTGAAACATCGAACCTCCTATACCTCTTCTCCAGCCGCCCCCCTCATCCCCGATCCCCGCCTATCTTCTCTTTAACTTCATTCATTCATCTAACATTCGCTGGGCGCTTTCTACATTGACACGCCCCGGACAGAAGACTGGGGTAAAGATGATCAGGAACACATTCCCTCCCGCTAAGGGGCTTGGCAGAGTAAGAGGCAGCCCAAAACCTAAGCAACCGGGACACGCGCCCGCCTCCCCGCCTCTCCAGGCCAGGTCAGGTTGACTCCCCAAGCCTCCTGACTCGCTGCGACAATTAGGCTTTCCCGCTCGTCCGTCTGGCTCCCTGGCTCGTCCGTCTGGCTCCCTGGCTCTTCCGTCTGGCTCCCTGGCTCGTCCATCTGGCTCCCTGGCTAGTCCCTCTGACTTCCCTCTCCCCGCAAGAACTCCACTGGCCCGCCAGTCAGTCCTCACCTCACGCAGAAAACACCGACCACAGAGCTTACCTCGGCGTGCAGACTAAGCGCGCTTCTCGCGATACTCGGGAACTCCCGGGGCAAGAAAGGCCCGCAGCGTTTGGCGCCAAATCCGCGCGCGAGCTGGGCGGGGCCTGCAAGACCCGCCTCTCAGGTTCCGCCCACCACGCCGGTCCCGCCTCCGGTCCCACTGTTTCCGCCCTCTGAATTCTTCAGAGGGCCTCCTTATTTTCATAAAGCTAATACTAGTTATTCTGGGCTTTTTTTTTTTTTTTTTTTCTTGAGACTAAGTCTCGCTCTATCACTCAGGCTGGAAAGCAGTGACTCGATCTCGGTTGACTAGTCTCTAGCTCCCGGAATGAAACGATCCTCCCACCTCAGCCTCTCTTCCCCGACTACCACCACCACACCCAGCTAATTTTTGTTTTAATGGGTTTGTTTGTTTGTTTGTTTGTTTGTTTGTTTGTTTGTTTGTTTGTTTTGCAAAGACGGGGATTAGCTGCCCAGGCTGGTCTCGAACTCCTTGGCTCAAGCGAGCTTCCCGCCTCAGTTTCCCAAAGTGCTGGGATTACAGGCATGAGCCACCGCGCCCGGCACTTTAAACCCTGGAAATAGGTCTCAGTTTTTGGAAAACTGAGTTGTGGAAGGAGGAAAAATGACAAAGGCAAGCAATAGTGAATGAGAAATTACCGCTTCTTCAGAGTTCATAGCAGAATGCCTTGAACTCAGAGTTTTATGAATTGTTTATTGAATAATAAACTGAGAAAAGAGGTGGTAAAGAGAGGAAAAATAGGGTTGAGTGTAGACACTGGCCGGGTGCGGTGTGGCTCACGCCTGTAATCCCAGCACTTTGGGAGGCCCAGGCGGGCGAATCGCTTGAGCCCAGAAGTTCAAGGCTTGCAGTGACTAGGATCGCACTGCTGGCGATCCAGCTGGAGATCCAGACTGAGTGACACAGTAAGACCCTGTTGCCAAAAAAAAAAAAAAGAGAGAGAGTGTGAATGTAAACAAAAAGAAAAATGTCAAAAATATGTTACTTGGGACCAGGTGCAGTGGCTCACGCCTATAATCTCAGCACTTTGGGAGGCCGAGGCGGGCAGATCACGAGGTCAGGAGTTCGAGACCAGCCTGACCAACATGGTGAAACCCCATCTCTACTAAAAATACAAAAATTAGCCCAGCATGGTGGCGTGCGCCTGTAATTCCAGCTACTCAGGAGGCTGAGGCAGGAGTATCGCTTGAACCTGGGAGGTAGAGGTTGCAGTGAGCCGAGATCTTGCCACTGCACTCCAGCCCTGGCGACAGAGCAAGACTCTGTCTCAAAAAAAAAAGTTATTTGGTTGGGCACGGTGGCTCAAGCCTGTAATCCCAGCACTTTGGGAGGCCGAGACTGGCGGATCACGAGGTCAGGAGA